TATAAGTTCCTAGGTAAGAGCCCCTGGCTTGCAGGAGTTACGACTCTAAGTCCCCGACAGAGCTGGGGACAAAGCTGGATTTCACATCCAGGTCTGCCCAGCTCCAGGCCAATTCCTTGGTATCAGAAATGCAGCTGCTGGGCCGGGGATTTAGCTCAGTGGTTCCACTGCCTGCCTCACAAGCACAAGGTCCTGAGTTCGATCCCCGGTACCCAAAAAAAGAAAGAAAGGAAGGAAGGAAGGAAGCAAAGAAAGAAAGAAAGAAAGAAAGAAAGAAAGAAAGAAAGAAAGAAAGAAAGAAGTGCAGCTGCTGTGACGTTTCATGGGGGGAAATTCCTGCCGGGTGGAGATAAATAACACTGAGTGGAAGATGCATGGTGCCCGGCCCGCTCTGCTTCAGTGGCCTCTGGCCTCAGGGCCTGCCCTGGCCTTCAGAAGTCATCAGGGCAGCCACAGACCACCCTCACGTGTTGCCCGCTGCGGCTGTGTGTGCATGTGTGCTCTCTATTGAGAACGGCCAGGCGGCCTGTGCCCAGCCAGTGCCGTTGGGCTCCTGGCCTGCTAAGTACCCTTCCCTTTCTGCCCAGCCACCAGGCCCTTCCACCATGCTGGTTCTGCCTTGAAACCAGCTGACCATGGACTGCACCGGCTGAAACTGAGCAAATAAATCTCTCTCCTTTGAGTTGCCAGTGTCAGGTGTCGTCCTAGGGAGGAGTGACTGATGCACCATGTCTTTGTCTCTTTCTCGTCCTCTCCCTCCTGTCCCTGATTTCTATCCCACCGTGCTGCCCCCTGGCTTCCATCTCTGGCTCACTCTAGGATGCAGCTGACGTTACTTCTTCCAGGAAGCCTTCCTCACGCGCCCTGCTTTCTCACACACTCTGGGCTGGGGGCCCCTCTTCACCCACAAGGGCAAGAGTCTCATTGCCCTAGTCCTATCCCTGCTGGCACAAATGCGGTCTGCAAAAAAGTATTGTAGAACCGATTAATATGTTGGCTTTGCTCACGGCCAGTGAACCTTAAGACTGATGCCAGAATCGAGGCCTGGTGACATCTTACCCAGGTTGAAAAAAATGTTGAAATTTAGAGGAGTAGGGAAAAATGCCATGCAAACCCAGAACATTTTAGGGGCAACAAAAATGTCGATTACATACCAACTAGGTAAAGGTGAATTTGACAGTTTGTGCACCTTTCCTTTTGAAAACCTGCAATTGATCCTATTTTCATCGTAACCTTTTTTCTTTTTGATATTTGCTTAGTGTAATTAGTATAGTGTCTAGCAGTTGGGCTGTGGGCCCAACCCCCTGCACATTCTTGATGTTCTCAGTGTGACTGCCAAATTGTTTACCAAATCCGTTACACCCTTGAGCGCTGGTGTCACCATGAGCACACTAGCACTGGGAATTCCCATTATTCCAGACTCACTGTACTCTCAGAAATGTAAGCAGTGCATTGCCATGTCCATGTGATTCCTTTTTTATTTCTCTGTGAACAACAGAGGCTGAGTGGTTTATGTGTTTATTTACCTACGTTCTCTTGAGTTCGTGCTCTTTATTATGGTGTCGTGTTTTATTTCTCTTGGGAGATTTAATTGGCAGACTGAACTATGTAAGCGCTCAGTGGGAGGCATGGTGTCAGGAGCCCGCAGCTGCCACCGGGATTGCTAGGTCCCCGTCCTGCCTGCTGGGAGAGCTGGTGCACCCAGAGGCCAGGAGCCCTCCAAGCCACTCAGCAGAGAGCCAGGAGCAGACTGTGAGCACTGACAGGGTTGGGCGCCCCTTGGGGAGCGTGGGAGTCCTCAGCGTGGGGTGCACTCGCTGTGCACCTGAATGAACGTGGGCCTTTGGAAGGCTCCAGGTGGATGGGACCGAGCAGCACACTCAGGCACGAGTCTGCACCTCTCCTGCGCCAGGGTGGGTCGTGTGGCGGGGAAGCGAAGGCCGGTGGAGAGGCTTGGTTAGCGCGGGAGACTGGCAGCCCTGGAACACAGAGGCGGCCGGCCGAGTAGACACAGCCCTCTCTCCGCTCCGCCTCCTGGGGAGGGGGGGACCCGGTCCCCACTGCTCCTCCCCGCTGCGGCTTTGTCGCTTGTCGCTGTTTCCTGCTCTCCCCCGTCCCCCCCCCCCCGCCGCCCCACCGTACTGCAAACCGAACTCAGGACCTTGCGCTTCCCAGGCAGACGCGGTGCTGCTGAGCTACTTCCCCAGCCTTTCGTTCTTTTTTAATTTTTGCTTTTCATTAGTCCAGGCTTGCAGTACGCAGCGCTGACCTTGTGCGAAGTTAGTGCGTGTACGGAACGCATCTCACGTCCTTCCTCTCCTCCCCCTCCCTCTCCCAGCCCTTGGCTCCCGGTCTCCTTCCCCTTTGAGATTGATCTATCTCCCTGTTTCCTGTTATCTATCTTTTGTTTTGCTCTTTACTTACAAATTAGGTTTCTCATATAAAAGAAACTATGTGAGATTTAAGCTTGGATGTCTGATTTATTTCACTGAACATTATGGTCTCGACGTGCATCCATTTTCCTACAAGTGACTCGAGTATATCCTTCTTTATGGCACAGTAGTAGTCCACTGTGTGTAAATACCACATTGTCTTTATCCATTCATCTGTTGAGGGACATAGAGGCCACTTCCAAGATTTAGCTATTGCCGAGTTCTGCTGCCATAAACACGGGTATGCGCGGATCACTGTGATGTGATGTCTTTAACTCTTTCAGGAAGATACCTAGAAAGGGAATAGCTGGGGTGAATGGAGTTGCTAGTTTTAATTTTGTGAGGAACCCCACTGATTTCCATAATGATTTTAGTAGTTTACGTTCCCACCAACCATGTAGAAGGGACCCTTTTCCCTCCCACGCCTTTCCAGAAGTAGTTATTATTTGATTTCCCAATGACGGCCATTCTTTCTGGGGCAAGATAGAATCTCAGTGTTGTTTTAATTTGTATTTCTTTAACAGCCAGTAATGTTGAACACCTCTTCATGTATTTATAGGTTATTTGAATTTCTTCCTCTGTGATGTGTCTATTCATTTCATTTGCCCATTTTCTGATTGAGTCGTTCATTTTGGGGTCTAATTTTTTGAGTTCTTTATGTATTCTAGATATGAGTCTCTTACAGCCATATTCACAAGTATGCCAGCATCTGTCTCCCATTCCACTTAGTTAGGAAAAGTAAATATTTTCCCAGAACCACCCAGAGGGCTTTTCCTAGGTGTGAGAGGCCAGCATGAAGTCACATGGCCCGCTTGGTCCAATCAGTAGCTATGTGACATGCAATCCCTTACCATGATTGGTTTACGTGATCGCCTCTGAACTCAGGGCCCAGCCAGATTGGAGTTGTATTAATAAGGAAGACAGTGAGTCCCTATGATTGTTAAATGAGCAATAATAGTTCCAGTGTCCATGTTTATGAGCAGACATTTTCATCAGAATTATACCGACATTGATGAATTTTCATCGAGAAAATATTTGCTGGACTCAACTTTATTGAGCAAACTTAAAAATTTCAGGAAAATTTTTCTCTACCATATGTGTGGTTTTCATTTTCTTCTGTTTCCATTTTTGTTTGACTTAAACTATTTTCATGAGTACCAGTGTTTTCCACATAGATATTAGGACAGAGACTGACTTCACTGATTTTTTTATATGTCTAAATTAAATTTTTTGTGGATCATATTTGTAGGTTTTGGCATTATTCCTTTTCTTTTGAGACTATTTGTATCCAGTTCTCTTGGATCAACTTTTGAGGGTCAAGAAATTTTATACTGACTGTTTCTATCTTCCCTCTTCATTGGGAACTGGCTAAGAGACTGGTGCATTTCTCATGTTGTCTATGATAAAAATGATAATTCCTCACAGATAGGCAGTGATTACTTCATTGTTCAGATTGTCGCATTGAGGGGCTGAACAAAGTAGCCCCCTGGCCCAGTCTGGCCTGAGGTCTGTTTTCTGAAGGCTAAGAGAGTGGATTTTACAGACCAGCTTCTGTAGTCTCTTTGCTCATGAAGACCACTAAGTGAATCTCAGGTAAGAGCGATGGTATACAGCCCTCAAGCAATGCAATTCTCCGCATGAACAAACCTGTACTATGAAAATTATACCCAGTGATTATTGTCATTGTGTTTTGAATTTTGCCCATAAAAATTTTGTGGAAATTTGTTCCCTCTCCTGTCAAATAAATTCCACATAATCTTGATTTTGCCACTTGGCCACAGACCTTAAAATGGTTACTCTCTGATCTTTAATAGGAAAAATTGGGTTGACACTGCCCTTGACGTGCTAACCTGATTCTTCTGACCAGGGCCATCCATCCTGCCCTAGCCCTGTTCCACTGGTGTCACAGAGAGAAGGTGGTGACCTCCTTAGTCTGTTCGGGCTGCTATAACAAAATTCCATGAGCTGATGTGTTATGGGAAACAAATTTATTTCACTCTGTCCTGGAGGCTGGGAAACCCAAGGCCAAGGCACCAGCAGAGCTGATGTCCAGTGAGGACCCATTTCTGGTGCCTGGGGGTGCCAGGGCTCAGCTCATGGGGAGTTTCTGGATTAGGACATTCATCCCATTCACAGGGGCTCAGCTTCCGGGCTCAGCCCCCTCTCCGAGGCTCCGCCTCCAAATGCCTTCCCCTGGGGGGCACAAACATTTGGCCCAAGGTGGTGGGTGAGGGCAGTGTGTTCGGGGCCACAGTCCAGGGGTCAAATGTCCCGAGGTCCTGGAGAGAGCAAGGGAGGTCGAGTATGTTCGTGTCGCTCAGTGATGAAGGATGATGCTCTTCAAATAAAACAAATCAGTGCAAGAGTTGCTGTAAAAGTCGGTTTTCCTTTGCTTTTTTGTATTAACGCGTGATGAGTCTTACATGTGGGAAAATCCAAAATATCATGGTTTTGAAGCCTCGGTATTCGAGGGAGATGCTATCTTTCGAAACTTGGGGGAGCTGAGAGTCTTTTCCTCTTTCCTTCTGTTTGCTATTTAAATTAGCTCTGTTTTCTTTACTTTAACAGATGAGGAAAAAGAAAATAATAGAGCATCCAAGCCCCACTCCACGCCCGCCACACTGCAATGGTAAGTGTCCATTCCGGCCCTTGGTCCAGGCGCCCGATGTCCCCCCCAGGACAGGTGGCACTTGGGTGTTCGGGCGTTGTCGTGACCACATGACAGGCAGCCATCCACCCACATCGACTGAGTTGGCAGGTGTATGTAACATGCTCAGCCTGGATCGAGGCTGGAAATTTGTCTTTTCATGTTTATCTGATTTTATTTCCATTGCTGCATTCCAGTGCTGGCAAGAACCAGATTCTACATGGATGTCATTTATTGATTCCTAATCGATTCTGTTATTACCATTAACAATGTGACAGCAAATAACAGAGTCAGAGGGCTGTTTACTCGTACCCATGAGCCCAGGATGAATGAATAATTAACTTCAACTAGACTACAATTATTTCAATACTCCTAGTATTAACAAAACTCAACTGGCAGAACGACTTTCTCTTTAATATTTGAACTGTTTCTCGCCAGTCACACTTTATTCAGTGTTCACGGATAAGCTCTCTCCTGAAGCTGCACTTGGAAGAGGCACTCTGGGCTTGGGCACCGGAGAGCTCCGTACCTGGGTCCCCTGCCCAGGAAGGATGGGCAGCCAGGGAGGAGGAGGTCAGATCCGTGCCGCACAGCCCCATGCAGGCCCCTGCACACTTTGTGCCTGTTCCATGCTCATAGTTGTGCAACAGTTGTGTTGTTGTGCCCATCACAGAGGGGCCAAATAAAGCCGAGGCAGTGAAATCACTTCCCCGGGGACACAGGGACCAGCCTGGGACTTTCTAAATCCAACTCCCATACTTGGGAAGAAGGGAAGAGAAAGCTCAGAAGATCAGAAAAGGAAGCAGAGGACTTCCAGGAGCAAATCAGATTCGTCCCCTGGTCTCCTTGTGAGAGGTGAGCGGAGAAAGACTTGGAGAAGGGATCCGAGATATAACCCAGCCTCTCCAACCAGGGTCTCCACGGGCAGCCTTTTGCCCACAAGGATGGCCAAGATTGGCCGGGCCTGGTGGTGCACACCGGGAACCCCAGAACTTGGGAGGCTGAGGCAGGAGAATCGCCGAGTTCGAGGCCAGCCTGGGCTGCATAGCAAGACCCTGTCTCAAAAAACTAACAAAGAGTACCCAACGTTATTTCCAAGGGCCCTGCTCCCAGCCTTTTGCCTTTTCTGTCATTTGTCCCCTATGTTCTTTTTCTCAGCATTTTAGACTTTAGCTTTATTTAAAATACAACTCAACCTCCCGCTGCAGATTATGACAGATACTATCATAAATGTCATGGCTGCACCACGCCTCGCAATACCTGCAAGGCAACATCACACAAAGAACTCTGGGAGGAGCAGGTGCTGCCAGAAATGCAAGAAACCAATGGATGCTCGCTTTGCAGAGCGGAACCCATTGTGGATTTCACAGTAAACATCTGAAAGGGACTAGGAGAGGTCACCTGCTCAGGCCTGTGTTCTGCAATTCTCTGACCTCTGCCTGGCCACTGTGAGCCTGAGACAGTGCAGTCTCTGCACTACGCGGCCAGGCCGGAGCTCCTGGCTCCACATCTTAGCGTCTCTGCCTCGGGGCCCACGAGTGGGGCGGCCGTGGGGGTCTGACCTGGGACGGGGTCCTGAGGATGGGACGAGCTGCCCAGGGCCTGTGAAGACCCTGGCACAGGCTGGACCCTCTTCTGAGTCCCCTAAGGACAACCCGGCAGGGCTCACCTGCCTCCTGGCATTTGCTCGCCAGCTCTGCGCCACGTTCCGGACCGCTCATCTGTTCTTGTACCTAGAGGTCCACATGGAAAATCCCAGAAGAAACTTCACCCCCATGGCATCAGGTAGGATAGAGACTATTTTCCCTAAGGACACATTTATGTTCCAGGGGCAAATCACATGTGGAAATGTGTACGTTTCAGTCTCACCATTATCAAAAGGCATTCTGTGTTCAGAGAACATCAAACTGTCCTCCAATTCCCATTGTGTTTAAGACAGTCTTTCTGCTGTGTGGGGCATTACACACCTGTCATTCCTGCAGCTCAGGAGGCTGAGGCAGGAAGACTCCAAGTTCAAGGCCAGCCTGGTCACCGTATCAACTTAGCAAGACCCTGTCTCGAATGAATGAATGAAGAAAAGGCTGGGGATGTAGCTGAGTGTGAAGGCCCTGGCTTCAGTCACCAGGGCACCCCTACCCCCTCCAAAAAAGATAAGATAATGTTTTGATCCTGAACTAATCCCAGAAATGCTTCCTGAGCACCTGCTATGTGCTGGGCCCCGCCGTGGGCTCTGCGAACACAGCGGTGGATAAGGTGGGCCCAGGATGGGCTGGCGGAGGTGGTTTATTTATAAATGACTGCTGGATAGGACTGCGTGAGCTAGAAGTGAGAGCCAGGTGGGGACACGGCAGTGGCCCACAGGACAGCTCAGGGCTGTTTTGGGGCGGGTGAGACAGGACGTCCTCGCAGGTCATGGGACCCTGGGGTGCTGCGGGCAGAGCAGCCTGACAGGAACAGTTTCCGCAGAGGCCCAGGAGCAAGCTGGGCTCCCGGGCGGTGCATGCAGGGCATCTGGGGTCCACACCTCAGGGTGGGGTCACCGGAGCAGCAGGCAGGCCCCGTGGGCACCCAGAGGCTTCTGCTGCCACTGTTCGCGGGTGACCCCGAGGACCCTGGCTCCACGGCCACCTCCCAGCAGGGGACAGAGCTGCCCGGGTCCTTTGCAGGAGGGGCAGGCCACGCCAGCTCAGGGAGCCACGAGACGGTGGCCGTGGCTTGGCACAGGCATGCAGGGGCCAAGGACACAGAGGAGGGCGAGGCAGCAGGGGGTCTGCTCACAGCAGGGCAGGGGAGGACCTTCGTGTAAACCCAGCTAGGGACCGTCGTGACAAGCTGCGGTGGAAGCATCGGCCCTGGGCTCTCAGGAAGAACTGGACGCCCCACCCTGAGTTACGGTCCCCAAGGGCAGGTGACACAATTTCAGCAAAGTTTCCCCCTTTTTGCTCTTGCTCCCTGGGAGCTCAGAGGTAAATCCAAACTGACTTCTCAGCGATCTGCTGTAACTATGGAAGTTCCGTGCTGTTCACCAACTTTTTTGATCTCTTCTTTCCTTTGTCTAATTTTCTTCTTTTTTTTTTGCTTTTGTTGGTTTTTTAGGAAAAGCCAAGAAATAAATGAATTCAGTCAAGTTTTTTATTTACACCCATAACACATTTTCTTGGTATAAAATTAGAACCCTGAGATGATGCTCAAGTCTGGTTCTCCTCGTTGTTCATTGCCTCTCCCTGCTACCAGGGAGCGGCTGTGCATGTGCCTGTGTGTGCGTGTGTGTGTTTACAAACCTTGCCTGTTCATTTTCATGAGGTAACCCTGTAGGGGTTTCTGAACATGTTTTATTTCAGACGCTCATCTTTATAAAAAGCAGGCCGAAGCCTTGCGCTAAGGTACCTCCCACCTGTCAACTAGACATCCACAATTCGCTCTCTTCCCTCCAATACCTGATGACACCCCCAGCACAACCCCACTTAAAAGTCAGTGAATAACTAAGACCTTTGCTCCACAACAAGACCTCCTCCCGGAGGCTCCTGTGTCCTTGCCCTGCCCTGGCTGAACCCCAGGGTTGGGTGCCTGGGATTTCAGATGCATCTCCCCTCGCCCACCCCTGCCCGCGGCTCCTGCCCACCGCCCTGGAGCCCAGGCCTGGCAGCTAATCAGCCACGCTGGCCAGGCCATGTGGTTGGGCAGAAAACAGGCAAATACTGGGCGGCACCTGCTGCCGAAGCCCTTCCAGCACCCTTCCAGCACCCCATCTTCCGGCTGGGGTTAGTAAATCCCAGCTCGGGAAGGGTGAGTAGCACTGGAGTCCAAGCACAATAACGCCTATTCACCCCTGGTCTCTGTGGACAGAGGCTGGGCGCCCTGTCCTCCTTGGGCCTCAGGGTGGGGCCGTCCTGCTCTGCCCACCAGTTTACCTGAGGAGGCTTTCCCCACAGTCAGAGGAGCCCAAAGTTCCGCTCTCCTGGTGGGGCAGAGGGGCAATTTCGTTTTTCTTTTGAAACATTAAACAGGAGGCCTGGGGCTGCTGACAGGCTGTCAGTCTTTCAAATGAATCTGAAACAAAAATAAACGCAGTGTTTCTCCTCTGAAGTCCGCGGAGGGCATAAAGGGAAATGGGCCCTGGGCTGGCGGTGCAGACCCCGCCTCGCTCGGTGGGTGGGTATAACAGCACCTGGCATCTGTGCCCATTTCTGACTGTGTCCTCTCTCTGCTCAGTGATGACATAATGTCACTTGCTTTCATGACATGAGTTAGGTGCCCTGGTTCTGAAGAGAGAGAATGAACATTCACAGCTCTGCATTCAGCCGGAGGGGCCAGTCCGTGCCAGTGCATAGGACAGTGCCCTTCGGGGGACGGTCACCAGCGAGAGGGGCCGAGAGCAGGGTGTGTGAAGGCTGCACTGGGCTCAAGGACGAAGCGCTTGTTGTAGAGTGAATTTCAGTGGAGCATGCCTGTCTTCCCTCCCGGCATGCATTCATCCTGGGAGCTGGTGCATGTGCAGCACACGTCTCGAGTTTTTGACGTCCCCTCCCCTCCGTTTCCATCCCCTCTGCCTCCCCCACGCATGAGCAGACAGTTGATAGTAAACTGACTTTAGAACCAGATGCCCACTCTCAAATACAGACAGAATCCGCAGTGCACGAAATGCATGTGTGATCACCAGGCACACTCACTGCGCTCCCACCCCGCGTGTGGGGACACCAGCACTGTGGCGAGTGACGTGCGGCCCTGGGACACGGAGACCGTGATGTCCCTGAGCGGCAAGAGTCTGTCAGTCTTCTGGGGCCGTCAGTGATGGACCTTCGTTGTGTGGTGTGTGACTGTGACTCTGTTTAAAGAGCAGGAAGCCAAGGCAGGTGACAGAACACCACGTAGGGCCACAGTCTTGTTGGACCCAAGGGTAGAACGAAGAGGCCAGGCAGGAAGGGCCCCGGGGACATAGGGGACGGCCCTGTTTCTGACCGGCTTGTCTGACCAGTGGCAAA